CCATGATGGTAGCTACATGTTCAGATATTATTTCTTCAGTTGTTTAAAAGTATTATAAATTTGGTATTTTACCTGGCAACATGGTATAATAGTTCCATTGCTGTTACTTACCATATTCTAATACCTCATCTTAGCATTTTGATTGAAGTCAAATACATACATACATATATATATGTATATAAAAAATACAGAGAAATATATGTCAGTGGATACTTGCAATGTGGTATATGTACTGGCACACTCATAGTTATTACATGCATTAACAAAACCCAGCACTGAATCTTGTAAGTTTGCAACTTACCTGAATTACAAAGGGACCTGAGGGATCCTGATGCTGCAAGCTTTTAATTCCCACTGATAATAGGAGTAAATAGGGAGTATGAGATCAGTTTTTGGTTATAGCATGGCACCAATATATTGCTTGTAATGTATTGCTTGCATTGGAAATGTTCAGACTGTGTAGAATTGCAACTTGAATGAGGAGGAAGCTAGAAAATATATTCCTGGGGCAATGCTCTTTGACTTGCATAGTTCTTCCTCCCCAGTGTTGACCCTTTTTGCTCTGTGAAACCACATCTGGTTTCATCTGGTTGAGCTAAACAAGACACTTTCTGGCCTATACTGAAACTATTGCTATTTCTTTGGTCATTTTAAGGTTCTCTTTCCTGAACTTCTCTGAGTATGTGTTATCTTCCTTCGCTGTGACAGACTTATTCTGAGTACTCTCTATAAGGTCTCAGCTTAGACAGTTGCATAAATATCTCCAGGCAGGCTTTTCTCTTCATCTTTATTCAGCAGCTGATGAACCTGGAGTTACTGAAGAAATTCTTCCTAGTCTCTTAAGCCCCTTGTCTTTATTGTCTTAGACTTCTGCTAATTGAGACCTTTTTTTATGGCAGTTCAGTACTACTGTGCATGCCAGATATCTTTTTTCTATCACCAGTGTATTTGATTATTTATTTATTTTATTTGGACATAATAATTAACAGAAATGATAAATGGTGTCAGTCTTCTTTCAGAGCAAAGCCCAGATGCAAATGGTGCACCGGAGAAAAAAATGATAGATAAATGAAAATACTGAAAANACAGTTACACAAATCATCCCCTATTGCCTGAGCGGTCTCCTGTAAGTACAGCCATTGCTATTACTCTCCAGCTGTTTTTTTCCCTCTGATTTTCCTACATCATCACACTAATTTCCATATAATATCATGTCAGTCACTTTACTGAAATCTATATGGATTTCCTTTATTGCAATTCCATTCTCTAAAAACATGGTGTACATTAGCAAAGGAAAATACCAAGTTAATTTGGCAGAATCCAGCTTTGGTTAAGTATGTCTCCAATTTTTATCTACTTTCATATCTCTATTTGTTTCACAAAATGTTGAGTTCTTGTAGACAGTTGAAATCATCCAAATACATTTCCGTGTATCACTTTTTTCCTTAAATACTGCTACTTGATTTTTTATTCTTTTAATCATATGGTATTGCTGTCTGGTTTGTAAATGCATTAAAACTCTTACCACTGGATTTATTATTTCTTTTACTGGGCCTCCTTGAGAGCTGAGCTCTTTGCCCTTTAGTTTTATCTTGCACACAACAATTTTTCTTTCCACACCCATTCTCATGAACATCTTTGGTTTTACCTGTGTGTGCTGCAATATTATCATTACTCATGCTGAGCCAAATAATTAGCCAAATAGTTTGGGGTGGGACCAAGATTACCTTTAATTGCAACCACATCTGTGATTTATAAGGCATCCACTCCTTTTTTGTTGTTTATATGGCCAAGGTACCTCTTATTATTTGCTTGAATTTCTTTGCTGTTTTAGTCATTATTGAAAAGCAAAGATCCCAGTCAGCTTGGTGAATGTTGTGATAATATTAGGAGGTAAGGAAATAATTTAATAGGGAAATAATGGAATAAATTTCTACTGAATTTTTTTACACCAAATAGTTCATCAATATCCACCTACAATTAGAGGGGTGAATCTCAGTATCAAGCCTGTTGACTTGTGGTTAGTGACCTGTCATTTCAAGAGTATTTTCCTTTGACTTTGCTGACAGCCACCATAAGAGGGCTATTTGTCTGCAACCCCTTCCAGGGAGTCTCCTGCCCACTCTTCCTGCATAGCTTGCTCTTATAATCCATTGAGGTTTCTAAACAATATTTTCCCAATTTGCCTCTGATTGACAAACCCTATAATAATCTTGGAGTGGGAAATCTAATGATGGTTCTTCTTGTGGACTTCAGCAAAAAGGTACGCACCTTAATTAGGCACTGAGAAACATGCTCCAGGAAAAAAATAAATTTTAATTTTCTTTTGGTTTCCCTGCAGGGCCTTTCCTTTTGCTCATCCTTGCTGACAGAGGCCACAGTGGCTAACTCAGCTCCTCCCAGGGGTTTGTTGGTTTCTTTGAGCAGGAGACACAGAGAGAATGTTTTACTCAGTCCTATGCATTATTTATTATTTTACCACTGTTGGGTAAAATCAGCCCTCGTTTGATATAAAAAAATTTACCATACAAGAACTCAGAAGAAAAAAAATCATGACACTGAGACAAAAAATAATACTAGTCTTGAAGAAAGCAGATCAGTAAGTGCTGGGATTGGTTACACCCTAAGATTTACTTTATGGCATTCTCCAAATACAAGAAACTTCTTCCACCGTGGAATGAGCAGGGGTTCCTCTTCAAGTGCTCCCAAAATCTCAGCAGGAAAATGTCAGTGCAGAGGTCAGAGCACAAATATACCTATGTTACCTTCCCACTCACAGGTACAGCAAAAGCTGTCCCACTAGAAACTCTCTGCACACATTTGTACCCTCTCTGAGACACCTCCTCAGGGATGAGCCCTGAGCTACCAAAGCGGTGACCGAGGTCTATCGACCTCAAGTCCTTTGGAAGGACTTAAGTCCTGGTACAGCACCTTGGGAAGGCTCTTACGTGCTTGATTCCGACTCAGACACGACGTGATGCCACTAGATGGCGATGGATACCTTCAGTACTGTGCAAAACAGCCAAATGCTTTCTCCAAACAGAGAATATCAAGGGGAAAAAAAAAACCCTACGATGTAGTTTTTTAATAATACAGTGATACGCCACTTTGCAAATGATATATTCTCGTTTTCTCTCCAGACTCAAGTACCAAGGTAATGTCACAGGTTTCTTTTGTAATTCTTTTGTTTGCATACAGTATTTCTATTACTCCAACCACCTTTAAAACTGGTCACACATCTTCCTTTCTTGACTACAAATCTTAATTACTTTTGTTAGTATTAGCATATTATCTTCAGACAGAAGCAGGGCCTTGTTAAATACAAGCCATTAATAATTCAGCATAAACCTAATTTAATTGCAAAGTTTGGTCTATGCTATGTGTATACCCTCTCTCCTTTTCAGTAACAAATTTTCATAAAAATCTAAGCAAAAAAATAGTTAAAACATACTAGCTTTTCCAGTATGCATGTAAATACAGCACTTCAAACTTCCAACACATTTGAAAGTTGCTGACTTTTAATTTACTTTGCATTCTGAAGAAGATTTGGTGCTTTTTCCTGCTAAAAAAGGTGCAGAGAGAAAACTGTCTTAAGAACTTCTTGAATGCAATGAAGTCTTTTTCCTTCCAGCATTGGCTTGTTAATAAAGGCATGTTGAGAGAGCTCTCAGCAAATTCAGAAACTTTTTTTTGAATGACAGAAGAGAAGATTGCTTCATACAGGTGGAGACATATAAGGTTTCACTCAGTGTTACCCAAGTGAATGAAATCACTGCACTCTGCAAATGAACATTAATCATGTATCTTCTTGACAACAGAAAATCCTTTCCCAATGTTCTGAGACACTTCAGTTTCACCACAGCATTTTAAGTATGTTGAGCTCAGCAGTTTTTTCTAAAGAGCAACAAAGCTATTTCCAAGTGATGGATAAATGTGAAATACTGATAGCTAACTCCATGACAAAACTGACCTTGCATTTTTTAATGAACTATACATGCAGATATTCAAAAAATGGAAGAAGCAAAGGATACTAGGCCTGTGGAAAGTACTCAGATACCATGATGATGAGCTTAGTGTGAATATTCAAACATTATATGGGTTGTCCAGGCCCAGAAGGTGGTGGTCAGTAGCATGAAGTCTAGCTGGAGGTCAGTGACTAGTGCTGTGCCCCACAGGTCAATATTGGTCTACTCCTGTTCAATGTCTTCATTAATGACCTGGATCATGGGGCAGAGTGTACCCTCAGCAAGTCTGCCGATGACACCAAACTGGGAGGAGTGGCTGATAGACCAGAGGGTCATCCAGAGGGACCTTGACTGGCTGGAGAACCTCAAGAACTTCAACTAGGAGAAATGCAAAGTCCTGCAGCTGGGAAGGAACAACCCCCTGCACCAGTCTATGCTGGGGGCCACCCAGCTGGAAAGCAGCTTGGTAGAAAAGGGACTGAGGATCCTGGGGTGGACACCATGTTGAAGCTGAGCCAGCAACAAGTCCTTGCCATGAAGAAGGCAAGTGGTATCCTGGTCTGTGTTAGATAAAGTATTGCCAGCAGGCTGAGAGTGGGGATTATTCCCTCCTACTCAGAAGGCCAGGTGTGAGGCCACATCTGGAGTCCTGGGTGCAGTTCAGGGCTCCCTACAAGGGACACCTGGACATACCAGAGTCCAACAAAGAGCCACAAAGATCAAGGAACTGGAGCCTTTCTCCTGTGAGGAAAGGCTAAGAGTTGGGACTATTTAGCCTGGAGAAGGGAAGGTATGGAGGGTGGATCTTACTAGTTCATATAAATGCCTGAAGGGAGGGTGCAAAGAGGACGGAGACAGGTTATTTCCAGCAGAGCCCAGTGACAGGACCAGAGGCAGTGGGCACAAACTGAAATGCAGGAGGCTGCATCTGAACATCAGGAAACAATTTTGGTTTTACTGTGAGGGTGACTGAGTACTGGCACAGGATGTCCAGCAAGGTTGTGGAGTCTCCATCTTTGGAGATACTCAAAAGGTGCCTGGACACAGTCGACTAAGTGGTTTTGCTTGAGCAGGGGGCTTGAACCAGATGACCTCCAGAGGTCCCTTCCAACCTCAGCTAGTCTGTTATTCTGTGATACAAAATATTAATTACAATGATAACATTTGAAAAGAGTAATCAGTAAATTAATTATTAAAATTATAAAGGTTGAAGTACATACTTGTTCATACATTTTCTAGCCACATAGTATGGCATGAATACCTGCCTCATTAGGAATCTGTGCAGTATCCTAGAATTGCTCTGGCTCCAGAGCATAAAACACGTGTTTTAAGAAGGCTGTGGCCAAGATGTTAACATCTTTTTTCTGTGCAGAAAAAGAACAGGCATATAAATTCACGCCAAAGAGCTACACTTTATACTTGATGATACCAAAGATAGACGTGCTTTCAATGGCAGAACTTACTTGGAATTTTGCCTGCCTTTCAGGCAGGCTTGTAACTTGGTAAGAAGACTGATCTACTGATTGTGGGTCTCTCACCGATGATATTTTCAGCAGTAAATAGCTTTTAAAATTGTTTATAAATATTTTTAAGCATATTTACACACAGATGCCTTTATAAAGCTCACTGCTGTTTAGTTTCTAGAGGAAAGGTACTGACGATGTGTGCAGAGCCCCTGACTGTATTTTTGAGTTTCCAAATAACCTAAGTCAACTCTAAAGGCATAAATGTGTTGTTTCATGACTGCTGAGGCCAGATGTACTCAGAGATATCTTTTAAAAGTAACTGAAGTTACAATGTTGATTCTTTTAGTAGAACCAGACAAACAGTTTTGACACTAATTCTGACAGGGATATATTATGACAGGGGAATATTTCTTCCACTCTGTGTTCAATGTCTGCACATACTATACAGTAAAATGACAAATGATATTTTCTATTCTGTCAAAGGTTTAGATAAACACTGCCTAACACAAACATGTGTGGGCCTGCTGAACACCTTCTTTGAGAAGTCTGGCAGGCAACAACCCTTCTGCAGGAGAATAAACAAAGCTGCCTAAAAACCAGTCTAGTTTTCCAGGCGTGAAGTTAAATATTTGCTACAAATGTTAACTTCCCACCATGCATCTGCCTATCTTCATGTACTATTCCCCCTAAGGGATTGTTCTCTCAGGTGAAAAGTGAAATAAAAGTTTCAAAATCGGACAGTGTTACCAGATGTAAAGACAACAATTCAGCAAATCACAGCTGTGAGAAACTAACCACAGGGATGTCCATGCTAGGAAGCTCAAAGGCCTTTTGGTGGCCTTTTTCTAGGAACCACTTGTCAGAGGGATGTGTGCTGAATTACTTGAGTGATATGGGAGCCTTGCTTAGGCTTCTTTTCCTTTGGAGGGAATGCTCCTCATTTGCTCTCATCACATGTGTTAAGAGCCTGCCTCAAGTCAGAGAAGAGAAGCACCTATGCAGGTCCTGAGATGTGGAAAATACTGCTGCAGGTCCTGAGATGTGGAAAATACTGCTGCAGAAAGGCTGCTTTTCCCTTCCCTCTGTGTGTGTGTGGAAAAGACAGCATGGGTGCAAATTGCAGCTGTTCAGAAAAAAAATCTGCCAAAGATCTAATTTCACATGCAGAGGAACTTCTCTTGCTCTTGTGACACAACTGAAAGGTTTCATTTTTGTGGCATTACAATCAATCAATGTTATTTGTGTATAATCACCATGGGGCCTCTGCTCGGGTGTGGTCTCTCACATCTGGCCAGTGCAGGCTTGGAATCTGATGACTGAGAAGCTCAGGGGAGCCTGTTATTGACTTGTTATTTAATAGGACGCTTCTGGTCCAAGACTTGCTGCTCCTCAGTTCCCAGAACATGAGGACACTCAATGAGAAAGCAGGATCATGGTCTTTGTTATTCAACCATAGACCGTGGTGACTATTAAGCAGTTACTCCCTTTGTTCATCCCAACTGCCTTTTCTCTTTGTAAAAATAGCAGATGATTTGGCCGTTCTGAAACCTTTTTCTCACATTCCCCCCACCTCGTCCACACACCTATGGGGAGTGTATCTTGTAGGGAGAAAAAAGCTGCTGGGAGCAGAGTAATGGTGTCAGCAGGGGGCAGAAAGTTGGAGAAGGGAATCTGGGGGACAGACAGACCATAAAACGGGTTGGGGAAAGAGGAAGGGAGAAGGAAGAAAAAGAGGATGGAGGATGCAGGCAGCGCACTGACCACTGAAGAGCTCTCAGAGCATCACAGAGGAGACCCTTAAACATGACATAATCACCACAGCTGCAGTTTGGCAGCAGCTCCCAGAAGCTGTGTCTGTTTCTGGTCCTGGTCCTTCTCCACACTGCCTATGTCTCCTGGCAGAGCCCTTTGTCACAGCCCCACTTCACACTCTGTCACACTCCAGCTCCAGCCACCAGTCCCATCCTGATCCCAGTAGCTGCAGGATAGAAAGGATTAAACTTGTATTGCTACAATAAAAGCAAGATTAATGCAAGTGACTGAAGGTTTATTGTGCCACTGACATTTGGTCTGAGGAAGAATATTCTTAAAGAAGAATAAGAGTGCTATATTGCATGGTCCTGCTGTAAATGTTCTAATTTAAAATAAACTTTCCTGCATAGGTTAAGACCCACCAACCACTGAATTGTCAGCAGTGTCACTGAAATGTCAGTGTCACAGAAGATTCTTACTGTCAAAAACCTTTATAATGTTTTGTTTGCCTTTCGAAGGACTGTAAGTTCTGTTAATAAAGTAACTGTGCTCACAGAATATATCTGGATTTCTTTAAGACACTTGACTTTGTACCAAATTGTACAGACCTAAGAAAGAATGAGCTGGATTTACAAACTGGTTTACAGACCAGTCTCCAAGAGTTGCTACTGATGGTTATTAATCTGGTGAGCAGAGTACCAAAGGTCTCAGCTCATGGGCCAAAACTGTTTTTTAGTTTTATAGCTATGAGAATTATACAAAATCTGTGGCAAAGTCTACTGCTGATAAAAAAAGTTTCTTTTTTGCTAGCAGATAATGAAGACAGATTACCATAAGAGTAATTTAAATTGCTTTATTAAAAGATACCAGTATTTTAATACTTAAATACTTAAGGTGATATTGGTTTTGGGGAAACAATGACAGAAATTGTATTTATGGATCAAAGGCTTGGATTCTGGTGAGGACCTAACAGTAACAGTGGATAACTACATAACTACCCCAGCATAAACTCTTGAGTAATGCTGTACATACAGAGAATATAATCTTTGATTGTATAAGGGGAGAGTACTGCATAAGGCAAGGAATCGACCCCAGTCTTGTCCCCATCCATAAGGATGCTGTATGGCAGCAGCTCTAACACCCCAGCAGTCCGTGCACCATACCTAACACAACCCAAATCATTCGGAATTTACTGCCCCTAAGCTTTGCATCTTCTCAGCACACCTCACAGGTCTAAGCACCTCAGTCTTGTTTCCTTTCTTCCCTCCCTGAGCCTGGTAAATGCTACTCACTGCAGTGCCAGTCCCTGCAGAGCCCAGCCCTCCTCTGGCCCACGTGCTGGTTGCTTCCTCTTGCCAGCAAGTGCAGGCTCCAAAATGAAGCTGTTGAGTAGGTAGAGCTTAGGAAGAGGAAAAAACTTGTGAAGGGATGTCACAAAGGGCACTGTCTCTCAGTGGCATGGGGAAGTGGGATGCAGAGCATCCCCACAATGCCTGCAGATGAAGTTTGGAAACACAGTATGTTCCAAGACGCAAAATGTCCCAGGCAATTAGACAAGAGGCGAAGGGCAGAAACCGATGCACAGGATGTTCCATGTGAATACAAGGAAGAATTCTTTACTCTGTGAGGGACTGTGCACTGGAACAGCTTGCCCAGGGAGGTTGTGGAGTCTCCTATTCGGGAACTGTCTGGACACAATCCTGTGCAATGTGCTCCAGGATGACCCTGCTTCAGCAGGGAAGTTGGACCTGATAACCCCCTGTGGTCACTTCCAACCTTACCCATTCTGTAATTCTGTGTCAAACCCCCTAGCTCCACTAATTCCTTAAACCCAAAAGTGTAAGAGTCTTGCTATAGATAGCAAGGTCACATCAATTTTTAAATGATATGCATTTATTTATGTAACATGAAAGGCTCAAGCGATATTCAGTTCACGTATCTGTCACATAGGGCAGGCCCAACACCACCACCAGGGCCTTGGACAAGGGCACGCCTCGTATCATTTAGAACATTTTGGGAAGGTAACGCGGGGCTTCCCGTACAACTCCCTGTCTGGGATCTGCGGCCCCCACGACACGGACGGGAGGCGAGGCCAGGCAGGCCAGGCCAGGCCAGGCCAGGCTGTTCCGTCAGCAGCGAGACTGCCGAAGGAACCTCTCAGACAGCGCCAGGCGGGGGTGCGGCAGACCCTGCCCTGCTGGGCCCGAAACCGCCACCACCACAACTCGCCTCATCCCGTCTCGCCCCACCCAGGGAAGGGCGGCGCGGGGGGCGGTGCGAGCGGCGGCGGTTCCGGGGCCGTGCGGGGCGGCGCCCATGGCGGCGGCGGCCGGATGTGCGTCCTGCTCCCCGCCCCGGCCCCGGCCCTGCCCCGCCCCGGCCCGGCCCTGCCCCGCCGCGGCCGCCCGGCCGCGTAGACGGGGCGGCGCGGCCGCCTCTGCCCGCGCAGCCGCCGCTCTGCTGGCGGGCGCCATGGAGGACGTCGGCTCGGGCGTGAACGCGGACGCGGAGGTGCGGAAGCTGCAGGAGCTGGTGAAGAAGCTGGAGAAGCAGAACGAGCAGCTCCGCAGCCGCCACGGCGCCCTACCCGCCGCTCCCGCCAGCCCCAAGCGCCTGCCGAGTGCCGGGCCCTCCCCGCCCCCCCCCGTCGCCTCCCCGTCGCCCGACGGCCGCTGCCTCAGTCCCCGGGCCGCCGCCCGGCGCTCGCCCCCCGAGGAGCCCGGCGGCGGCGAGGGCGGCGGCGGCGGCGGCAATGGCCTCCTGGACGAGGCGGCGGTGCTCAGGCCAGAGGAGCTGGAGCGGCTGGCCGGCTGCGATGAGGACGAGACCGGCTGGTGAGGAGGGGGCCGGGTGGGGATGGGGCGGGGGCGCGCTGGTGAGAGGGCGGTCAGGGCTCCGCGTCCCTTTCCCTCGCCGCGCCTGGGAGGAAGGGGCCGTTTCCAGGCGCGTCCCTGGTGTCGGAGGGGGTCTCGGGGCTTTGTGTGCCGAGGCAGCCTCGCCTTTTGAGCTGGGTGAAGGGATTAATTAGCTCTCAGAGACGTACCGAAGCCTGCCGGGGAAGGGTGTCGTGCTCTGCACAGCACATCGCATCTCCCCGCAGGCCCGCGGCTCCGCGCTGCTGTTCGGCCGCGGTGGCAGCGTTACAGCGAGTCCCTCGGAGACCAGAGCGGCTCCAGTGCTGCCGCAGGATCAGCCCTCAGTGTTTCCGCGAGTTCAGGAGGTGTGGAGGCGTTGGGAAACTTGTGGGAAATTTCTTGGGTAGTTCAGAATTTGCCCACAGGTACTGTTACGCTTCAGATGTGTATCAGGCGTGTTTTATGCCTTGATTTCTTTCAGTTGTGAAGGCAGCAAGCGTAATACACTTTTTCATCTCATAAACGTGTTGCCCTTAGGTGTTCTCGTTTGTTGCTAATGATGTAGGACCACGGCTTCCCTTAGATGATTCGTCTTTTTAAATGGACTGCTTACCCTGCTGCTCCAGAAGAAACACCTGCAGGTGGCTGTTCTCCTTGTCATTATTACACTCGGATGAGCTTTCACTGAGAGTCAGGGTTTGCTCTCTCGAAACATCACGCTGTTGTCCAGCTGTCGTTTTGAAGTTTCCTATGACAGTTGTTGAGCTGCAGGAGAAATAGTGGGGAGGAGCACAGTGTCAACAGAGAAATGCAAGGGAAGCATGTACAGGGAGGAAAAGTGTAACACAAGCAATCTAACTTGGGGCAGAACTGGTTGTAGGTTGATCTAAAAGATCTTTGGAAGCAAACGTGCAGACAAATTTAAAAAACAAACAAAGATGTCTTTCAGATTTAGAAACGCCTTTAAAAATGCTGGAATGATTCCATGCATGAGCAATGTTTTAGTTGCTTAGGGAGGAGACAGTGTGTACACTTCCTTGGAGAAGTCATTTGCCTGACTTCCAGCCTGATCCACTGGAGAAGTATGAGAGCATAAGTTTATTCTCATCCAACGCTAAATTAACACAAGGCATCATCTCCCAAATGACAAGTCTGTGCAAGGCAGCTACTCTTATTTCTCAGTGTATGCCTTGTAATCTGCTGGCTTATAGCCCTTGATGGAAATAGAATATAGTAAATTTGCACAGTAAGTTTAGAATGGGATGGCTGAGTTTGTCAGTGTCATGAACTCTAGTGACAATGGACATTATAGCTTTATATGTTAATCCTAAATCATGGGCAGTATCTTGCATCTCTTCAGTGAGAGTTAATGTCATAACAGAGTGTGTGGTGACAGTGATGCCATAAGTGCTGTGTTTTTGTTGACACAGTTCTGGACACTGGTGGGGCAGCCGCAGTGCTGAGCACTGTTTTGCTGGGCACTGCTCTTGCTGGTGTCAGGTGTTTGGCATGTTACTCATGCTGCCAATTCTTGTGGCACCATCATGTTTCTGTGCAGGTTCTAGTCCTCAAAAGATAATAAAACTTAAATGCAGTCTTTTGCATGTCTTCATTTCTTTACTAGTGTTTTGGCAAGTATAATGCTAAAATATGTTTTAGCAACTAATTCAGTCTCATATGTGGGACACTGACTGAGACACAAACACACCTAGAAAAGAGTAGTTGTTAAAATTTACTTATTGTTGCACACATAACAAAATATGAATGCGTAATTAAAAAAAATTTTCTTTTCCTACTCTAGTTTAATATGCAGTTAATGATAAATGTGGTTTGGCTAGACTGACTGATGGTTTTTTTGTTCTAAACTGCTCAATAAAAATGGAAGTCAAGCTCCTGGAATTTCTGAACACCTTTTAATTCAACTATTGAGACACTAAGTACTTCAAAACCATTTTTGTTTCTTATGAAGGTAGGATGATTTTGGTTTTGTGCCTTTGATGAATGGAGGTAATTGCTCTAAACAAAGTTTGAAATTTTCAGAGGGCTAGTGGAGCAATCAAAAAGAAAGAAGCCTGTGAAGATAGGAGGGATGACGTGAGTAAGTGGATTTCACTTAAACTGTTTCATAAAGAACCTGCTCTTAAGGTCTTGGTTATGCAAGTTCTCTCAAAAAGTAATTGAATCAACTGAAAGGGTGAATGTACTTGATAAAATTTAAACCTAGTATGAACTCCTTCAGGTTCAAATGGATTTGAGTCACTACTGCTTAACCCAAAATCCTGTTTAAAATATAGGATTATACACTGTAAAAGTCAAAGATCACTTAGCAGCTGAGGAAATCTTTTGTGGAAACAAACTAAATTTAAATCATCGTTTGTGCGTAAAAAATTGATTAATCTTGCCTATTTTGCGTATCTGCATAGAGAAGCTTAGATTTGTCTTTACTTCTGATTTCAGAAGGACCTTGCTGTGGGTGATAATAGATGATAAAGGGTGCTGGCTTTCTCCGTTCTTTTCTCTGTTTTGTGTAATACAGACATTTTCATACTCCATTACAAAATGGTCTGCAGCGCTGTAATGGCAGAAGAAATAGTTTTCTTCACCGCAAAAATTACATTGCTTTACATTAATGCTCACATGAGATTAGTGGCTGTGAATTTAAGATGGAACACTTGATACTGTGACTGAAATTGATACTGGAATGTGACATGGTTTTTTAAATCTACATTTTGGAGTTTATCAGCTCATTTTTAGCTTTTAGTTCTTTAAATACATTTAGATAAATCTACACAGGACAGAAATGTAAAGTGAAAAAGTAGAGGAAAAGATAGAACTAGCTAAGAAGCAAAGGAACTTTGATACTGCTGCTTTAGTAGCAGCATTAGCTATTAAAACAGCATTGCAGTATTGGTGAAATTTGGGACTGTTTATTTTTTTGCTCGTTTGTTCTTCCTCACTGTTAAATCCAGATAGTTTTAAACATTTTAGCACATGAGACAATCTTCAAATTATGTGGTAAATTATTAACAATATTTCAGTGAATTTAGGTTGAGTTTCTTGTCCATATGCTTCTGAATCCTCTTTGATGTGCTGAAACTTTCTTCTTGATAGGGTTCCAAAGGTTTTAAATGGGCACATCGGCACCTGCATGCAGTACTGAGCTGTACCCAGTCCCATGGAGGCTTTGCTTTAGGCCTGCGAATTATTTCCTTAAGTTATCTGTGACTTTTGTAATCTATTTTATGAGTGTTCCTGTTTAGCTGTTCTTGAACCAGATTGGATCAAACTTAATTTTTTTCAAATTTCGATCTGAAGGGGTCTTTTCTTATTAATTAATTAAAAAGAAAAAAGGCCAGGAGAGGGGACTTCAGAGAAGTGGTATGTAGCTCCTTCCTTACCTGACTTGCTGGGTAAGATTGGGTGTGGATGTGTAGCATGTTTGAGACACCTGGGTAACAGCATGCAGGGTGGCTTCCTATGCTGCTTCTAAAAAGAGAGCTGTCTCAAGTTTATTGCAGGAT